CCCCGCGAGTGCGACAGAGACAGAGCGACGAGGCGACGCCTCACAGGCAGCGAGGCAGCCGGGCTGGAGCGGTTTGAAGGAGGGCCGAGGGCGCCTTCCGTTCCGTCCGTTCCGTTCGGCTCCAGAGGGTCCTTCTAGCTTCTAGGGGTCCTGGCAGTCTAACCAAATATTGATATGGCGCGTTCAGAGCCGCACGCAGTACCGCGCAGCACCGCGCACCGCGCCGAAGACGTGTTTGCTACCGCTGGCTCGGCCCGGCTCGGCTCGGCACGGCTCGGCTCGGCACGGCTCGGCTCGGCGGCGGGGCGGCCAATCCACTGGAAGTCGTGGTGCGCCGCGAACGGGGAGGCCTGGCTGGCCCGGCGAGGCCGGCGAGGCAAGAGGGGCATGCGGATTGCACATCTCGCCCAATGGCGGCACTGCCGAGTTTGCTTTGCAGTGCCGTGGCTGTGCCCTGCCAGTGCCGTGCCGCTGGGGAAAGGGGGGCCTAGTTTCCGGCCGCAGGCTCCACTGGCTTCGCCTAGCTTTGCGTGGCTTTGCCCAGTGGGCCGTGAAGCCACCGGTCCATTATTGCCGACTGGCGGCCCCGACTTGATTATTTGCCGATTAGTGCTGGTGATGCAGCCAAAGTAGTTTGATTGATTATGATCGGCAGGTGGCGGACCTGTTGCGTGCTTGTTCGGAGAGGCTCCCTCCAGGGACTCCCTTACCTTAGACAGCGAAGACATTGTCGCCCTTGACTCTGCTGTTCCAGAAACCACAGCGGAGGAACCGGGTTTTTAAAATCGATTCCCTCGGCGTGCATCTTTTTCATCCCGTTATGCCTCCGCCAGCGCATCAACAACTCTGCAGCTTCCTTTTAGTATCCCACTTTTCTCGTTTTTAATCAAATCTCGTCGCTTTTCCACAATCTGATAATCTTCGCTTTCGTGCATCGGCGCCTCTCGGGCCACCAGCATGGGCTGCCCGCGACTCGTGAGCGGACCGAACCGATTATGCGTCCTGGGGTGAGTGGGGTGTCTCTCTCGCTCCCACGCGGCGCGGCGCGGTCCATGAGTGCGAGAGAGGCGGAGGTTTTTTCTCTGCCGCGCGCGGCCCTTGGTCCAACAAGTTGATTTCATTATGCCTCGGCGTGGCTGAGTGGCGACGCCGGGCGACGCCGGGCGACGCTGCCGACGAGGGCCGCTCCAACATGCAAAGGGGGTCATCACGACGAGGGCCTCCGTCACTCCACCGCCATTGGCACCACGGCACGGCGGCGCGCTGGATCAGTGATTCCCGCGAGCCAAGTGATTGGCCCGGCCCGAGGGCCCGGGCCCAGGACCTCCACGCCGGCGGCATGTTGCTGCCGGGGGCGTGGCGGCGCGGCGGCGCGAGGCCTGGAGCCGAGCCTGCAGCCCCTATCGGATTCCGATAGTCATCTTCCGGCGGACACTCCCCCCCCCCCCTCCCAGAATTACCCCCTTCCTCCGCTATTCCTTCCTTCCCGTCTCACCCTTTCCCCGGGGCGTCCTTAAAACGCGCCGCCGCATCAACGCCGCGACAAAGCATCGCATCTACTCCCCCCTCCCCTCCCCCCCCCCTTTTCGGCTGGCCATATAACCCGACCGCGGCGAGCCGCGGCGCCCGGCGGCGTCGGCCCGCCAACGCCGCCGTGGTTCCCGCGGTGGCCATGCTCCCCTCCTCCGAGGCCCCTCTGGGCTCCCTTGTGCAGGTCCTCGCGGGAACCCTTCTTCTTTGGCACGACGCTGTTCTCCTTTCCCCCTCCCCTTTCTTCACCCTCCCCTCCCCTTCTTCTCCGCCCCCGTTGGGGTCGCCACTGCACGGTCCGCCACACCCAAACTGACAGCGGTCTGTATGACGGCCCGAATCTGGTCCTGGGTCCTGGCCTCGGTCCTGGCCTCGGCGCTGGCCTCGCGCCGGCGCTCGGCGCGGGCCTCCACGTGTACATTGCCTCCATGGCACGCCTGGGCCATGGGCAACGCCGCTTGCACTTCTTGCCATCACACGCCATTACAGTGCCCCCTCGGCCGGGTATCGCTGGCAGGAAGGCTGGCAGGCCGGCCGCATGGAAAGTTTGCCCCGCCGGCTGCTCCCCACGGCGAGGCGGCCGTCGCGGAACGCTATACTCTACCAGTTAATGTGGCTCCTGCTTTCCCCTGGCGGTCGGGTTTGATTCGATCTCGCCGTAAGAAAGCAGTTTTCGTGTTTCGCGGGGAGTACATGGGAATTTGATGACTCGCGGGTTGGTACGCACTCCAGCTCTGCTCTGTAATTTTTTAAAAGTGAGATCAACTAAAAGGTCCAGGCTATTCCTTTGGCTTGATTTTGTAGTGAAAAATGCAAAGGGCAAAATCAGAATGACGCCACTAAAAAATCAATGTCAATGTTAGTCGGTTTCGACTGACTCTTTTGACAGTGTTAGACCTTTCATAATGTCACCCTAGTGCGCTGTGGTTGTCGTGGATGTACTCCCAAATGACCCCAAAAGCTTCGAAGTGCCCATTAAGACCTCGTCCTCAAGGTCGTCTTTATCCTGAGGTCATTTCGGGCAGACCGTATGCAGAGTTCCATTAGGCGGAGCGGAAGTGAGCACTTTGTCGTCCGTGCCGGATGTACCGGAAGCAGCGAATGTACCGGAAGCACCGAATGTACCGGAAGCACCAGATGTACCGGAAGCACCGGAAAAGGCGCGTGGCGCGGATAAGAGTCTCGCCTTTTGTGGCCCTTTTCCCCTCCGGCATGTGTACTCCGCCTGGCACGTATAAAAAGTCATATACCGCTTGCATTCGGCTCATCTAGGCACGGCCCCGGGCACAGCCGCCGGCGCAGCGGCGCAGCCTGTCCCGTGGCGCAGCTGTCGCGGTGTGGCGGGGCTGGCGGGGCGCGCGTAAAAAATGGAAATGGAGCAGCCGTATGGACCCCTCGGCTCGCAACAACTCTCTTCATACCTCCAGGATGGCCTTTGCGTGTGGGCGGACAGGAACTCGGCGTCGCGGAGCGGGTCGGTGGCCGGGGCCGACAAACCATCGGCAAAGCCGGGCAGCGCACTGTTAAAACGCTCAAAGTCTCGCCTTTAGCGCGCTGCCGCCATGCCTCGTGTTCGCGCGCGCCACACAGTGTACCCGCCGTGCTAAAGTGCAAAAGTTCTCTTCCTCAATCAGTTTGGATTCCGATATATGAGGTGACCTCGTTGGGACGTGCAGGGGTCAGGATTGTTGGCGATTGCCCGTGGGGCGGGGACCTGGGGGCGAGGCACAGTGGGCCAGAAGACCAGTGGAGGCGGCCAAAACTCTAGACGCGTCTTGAGCTCCAGAGTCGCTAAACAGGACTCGAAGCGAGCGTGTGACCCCACCAATGGATTCCTCGTTCGGAGAGCAATCCATTGGTAGGGTCACACGTTCGGTTCGAGGCCTATTTAGCGACTCTGGAGCTCAAAACGCGTTTAGAGTTTTGGCCGCCTCCACTGGTCTTCTGGCCCACTGTGCGAGGCCCCCTGGTGGGTCTTGGTGGGCGTTTCATTTGTCGCGCAGCCTCACGCCTGGGGGCTGCCTCCGAACCGTCGCTCTGTCTCTCTCGCTCTGCCGGGACCCTCCGGCAGGGTCGAGGGAGACGGAGCGACAAAGCACTGTTCGGAATCAGCCTGCTGGGAGAGCCCCGCTCGCCCCGCCCCGCCCCGCCAACCCTGGCCTGCAGTCCCTTGAGTCCCTTGGGAAGCTCGCCAGACTCGGCGGCCAGGCCAGGCACTGCGAGCCACTTCGCCATTTCGGCGAGCCAACGTTGCGAAGGCAGTGTTCCCCGCAGCGTGCCCGTGTGCCACGACACTGTGCGCCACTGTGCCACGCCACTGTGTGGCAACGGGGCCAAATATCGGGGGATAAGTAGGCCACCCACCGCGTCGGCGTCGCCGCCTTTGGCTTGCTGCCCCGGTCATGCCTCGGTCCCCCGCCGTCCGGCCGTCCGTCGGGCCTTTTTTTCCTCCCCGGGATTTCTCCGGACAAATTGCTGCACCTCCCCCCAACCCACATCATCGCACTGGCCGAAAAAACACTCGGTTGACTCACATGGCGAGAAGGGGATGAGTCTACTGCTGGCGTCATTTCGTTGTAACGTCTGCGATATTTTGTCCTCAGTTTCTTGCAGAGCTTTTCATGCCGTTTTTCGAATCGGATCCCAGATGTGAGATGTGTTTCTGCAGTGTACCACTGCTTTTGTTTTGGGAGATGGTGTAGGTGTATCCATTTGGGTGGAATGTGAAAACAGCCGGCGACTGCTTTCCCTCGGCCAGTCCTGTGGCTCGCAAGGGGCGCTGGGTGCCGATATGTGGCCTGTGTGTGTGTGTGTGTGTGTAGGTGTGTGTGTGTGTGTGTGTGTGTGTTGGCGCCGTGGGGGGCGGGGGGCGTTACTCATGAATACAAACATATGTGTGAGTGTGTTTGGGGGCGAGTCGCCGCGACCCGCATGGACCGCCGTATGGAAATGACGGGAGATGGTTTTCTAACCAACGTGATATTCTTGTCTGTGTGGATGATTGTGGCCCGTCTGCCCCGGGGGGTTCCGGGGGGTTCCGGAGCGACCCGGAGCCGCGGCGGCCCGGATGCAAAAGATGGCAGCGGTTTGTTTTCGGACGCGCGCCCGCGAAGTGCGGGACAGGCCTCCCGGTGGCCGCGGCTGCGCGGCGGGCTGGCCCACCCCGCGCATGGCAGGCGCTTTGCGGTGTGGCGGTCGCAGTTTGCCTCATTGGTGTTTGTTTGCGCTGTTGCAGGTTGCCCGCGGCCGGTGGACGGGGCCACTGGACACATCCACGCGGTCGCTGCTGACAGTTCCATTATCGGTTTGCCCAGCTGCGCGTAGATATAGTCAATGTAGCCAAGGTAGCCCGCACAGATTCCGGGTCCAGTTTCGAAACTTGCTTCCAGTGGAGGGGGAGGGGTGGGGGTGGTAAGCGAACGTGGGTGAGTCCCACCGAATGTGGTTGCTTCCTTGACTGAGCGTTGCAGCGTGGGCCGTCCCGGCGTGGACACTTCCATGCGCCACGAGACGGACGCCGCCGTGATCCAGCTCCAGTTCCTGGTCAACGAGGGCGCGCTGCTGTCCGCCACCGCCGACGACTCCATCCACCTCTGGAACTTCCGCCAGAAAAAGCCCGAGGTGGTGCACAGCCTCAAGTTCCAGAAGGAGAAGTAAGTCCGACCGATCGATTTATCGATAGTCATATCGATATATTTTGATATTCGTCTCAAATTATATCGATAGTCGTGTCGATTAATATCGATAGTCATGTCGGTTTATATCGATAGTCATGTCAATTTATATCAATAGTTATGTCAATTTATATTCAGTCATGTCGATATATATCGAGTCATCTCTATGATAGTCATGTCGATATATATCGATAGTAATGTTAATATATATCGATAGATGTCGAGATATATATATATATATCGATACACCGGAATGCACATTGTTTTTCGTTGCTCTGCGAGCAGACAGCCTCTCCGGAGCGGACCGTTGTGACCGTGCGGTGTTTGCACTTGTTCCAGGATCACGTACATGCACCTTCCCCTGCAGAGCAAGTGGCTGTACGTGGGCACAGAGCGCGGCAACATTCACATCGTCAACATCGAGGCCTTCGTGGTGTCGGGCTACGTCATCAACTGGAACAAGGCCATCGAAGTGTAAGCGCGCGCAGTCCAATCTCCTTGTTGATTTATCCCATCCCCAGTTTGCCCGCGAGATTACTCCCCAGCTGTTCCAAGATTTAAACAGCGAATCGGGGGCTCTCTCGCGCGCACCTTGCCAGCGGGACCTGATCAACTTTGACGTCTTGCCGTTTTGCAGGTCACGGAAAACCCACCCCGGACCCGTGGTTCATCTTAGCGACTGCCCCATAGACCCGAGCAAGGTGAGGGCAGGACACTGCGTTGGAATCTCTCACCTTTTTCATCAGCAAAACAAAAAGTAAATGACTTTCTCTTTCCTTCTCAGCTGTTGATAGGGTACGAGTCGGGCCAGCTGGCGCTGTGGGACCTCAAATTGAAGCAGGCGGAACTTCGCTGGCACAGCACGGAGCGCCTCAAGTCGGCGGGCTGGCACAACGACGGCAAGCAGTTCATGTGCTCGCACGTGGACGGTTCCCTGACCACCTGGGCCGTGCGGCCGGGGCCCAAGCCCGTCAACGTGCTGCTGCCTCACGGTGAGGGGGCATTCACCAATCTTTGACATCTTTAAAATCGAGGAGGGATTCAGAAATCTTTGACATCTTTAAAATCATTGGCAGTGCTTCCTGAAATCTGTGAGATGTTGTTGCCAGTGGAGCTTATTTTGCGCGCAGTTTGGCGCCTGCTTTGTGGAAGCCACTTACGACGAGTAATGAGGATTACAGTGATGGCCCCGCCCAACGCAAACATCGTCGAGCTGAGGCGGAGCGCGCGCGTTTGTCTCTGCCTGTCGTGTGTGTGTTTGTGTGTGCGTGACATTATTTTGTTTTGCAGCCAAGCCCAACAAAGACGGGAAGCTAGATGCCTGCAAGCCCGTGGACAAGGTTGAATGGAAGGTCGCGAGAACTGGGTGGGTTGCGCCGTCCCTCGTTTGGCCTTTTTCTTGACTGTGCGATGCGATTAATCGTTGTCTCCTTCCGCAGGGAGACGTACGTGATATTTTCTGGCGGCCTTGCCAACGACAAGTCCGGACGCATCCCCAGCATCACGGTGGTGCACGGCAAGAACACGACGGTCCTCGAGATGGAGCACAAAGTGATAGACTTCATTACCCTGTGCGAGAGCCCGTACGCGAGCGGTACGTGGGGGGGCCTCAACCAGCGTGGTTTACTCCTGCCAGAGTGGCGTTGACCTTGGCTCTGTCTGTGCAGAACCTCAAGAACCGTACGGCATTGCCGTGCTCCTGCACAACGACCTGGTGGTGATCGACCTGAACGCCCAGGGCTTCCCCTGCTTCGAGAACCCCTACCCCATGGACCTGCACGAGTCCCCCGTCACGTGCTGCACCTACCTGGCGGACTGCCCGTCCGACCTCATCCCCGCCTTCTACTCCGTGGGCAGCCGGACGCACAAGCGGACCGGCTTCACGGAGAGGGAGTGGCCAATCAACGGCGGGGAGTGGTCCCCCACCAGCTGCAGCTACAACGAGATCATCCTCACGGGGTAACAACTTCGCTCCACGTTCTGATCGGGCTGTCTCTCTTGCAATCCTGAGATTAAACCTTCTGTTGCAGACATGCCGACGGCAGCGTCAGGTTCTGGGACGCATCCGCCGGCACACTTCAAGTTTTATACAAGCTAAAAACCTCCAAAGTGTTTGAGAAGCCTCAGTCAAGAAGCGTTGACGGCTCCGACGACGACCCCCTCGCCATCCAGCTCATCTCCCTGTGCCCCGAGAGTCGCAAGCTGTGCGTGGCGGGGGCGTCCTCCCACGTCATTCTCTTTAAGTTTCGGAAACAGGAATCGACCAGTGACACAACGGTAAGCACGACGCTCAAACGCACTAGCACGGTGGGGCGGGAGTGGGGCGGTGGTTGATTGACCTTGTGTACGCAGACCCTGGAAATCCCCATCGTGTACGAAGTGACCGACGAAGGGCCCGAGGGCTCCCCGGAGGCTGAGTACCCGCCCAGACCCAGTCTCGTTTCCCACAGGGGCGAGTCAAACGATGCCGATGGCAAAAAGGTAAAGCTTCGTCTTTTTTGTCTGCAGGGTAAGCCTGTTTTGTCTATTTTGCCTTTTTGTCATTGTTTTCCCTCTTCCGAATTTTCAGTCTTCGTTAGAATACGCTCTTCCCTTAAAAGTAAAGCCCGGACCACAGAAGAAGCCCGCCGGTTTCCAAGCCCACATCGTGTGCATCACGCCGTGGGTGAACGGCGAGCAGCCGGGACAGATCACCGCTCTCAGCATCAACTCTTCCTATGGACTGTAAGGGCGTCTCCATTTGACTGTGTGCTGGCCGTCTGCCCGGCCTGAGCGCTCCCTTTTGACTCTGTGGCATCGCGTTCCTTCCAGAATGGCCTACGGCAACGAGTCCGGCATCGCCGTGGTGGACATTGTCCAGAGGACGTGCGTGCTGTCCATGGGCACGCCGGACCTGTACGGAAGCGCGGACCCGTACCAGAGAGTGCCCCGCTCCCCCAAGCGGGGCGGCCAGCCCGCCGGCCCCTCGGACTTCACCAACCCCGGGGCTCGCGAGGATGACCCGCGGTGCCGCTCCCCCTCGACGGACCAGGTAACAGGCTTGTTTCTTATAGTTTTGGCTAGAAGTCTTTCAGAAAACCTGCGTCCTTGCCAGTTTTCAATCTCCCTTATCACTACGGCGTCCAAACGCGGACATATTTTAGTGCTAGAATCGAGGCTAGAGTTCAGACTGTACTGACTAAATTTTACCGTGTCGAACCAATGCAGGTTTATCTTAAAATATTTGTAATTAGTGGAGAACCAGTGCAGTTTCTAACAACTTCCGGTTTTTGTTTTTCTTCCTTTGTGTTGTTTGTGTGTGCTCGATTCTCTGTCGCCTGTCATGTCATAAGCAGGGAAAGCCTTTCCACAAAGAATATAACGAAGAATTTTCCATTTAAAAATGTTTAAAAACAAATCTTAATTTGTTGCGAACAGCTTGTAGCCTAATCAATATGCAAATGGTTAACTGAGCATGAAACGCTAAAAATACTGTGTCAAGGCTTTCACAACCACAGTGGCATACAGTGCATGTAGATGAAATGAAAATTTACCTCAATCCTGAAGGATCTAACGACGAGCAGTAGTTGAACGTGACATCTGTTCGGAGGACGCCACCCCAGAGATGATCGGCGCCGTATCCAGGATACGCTTGAGCTCGTGAAGGTTCTTTCTGTATTGCAGGTGCTGCAAGGTCGGGGACAGGACCCACCCTTCCTTGTTTTTTTTTTTTTTTTAAATCATTGTCTCGTTTCGATAGAGTTTGCTCCGGTAGAACAGACATGCGGTTTCCAGGTGTGCTCGACAGTTTTTAGAGAGTTTTCTAATCACAAAACGTCAGGTTACAAACTGTGTACCTGATTCTACATTTGGGATGGCATTACTTCCCGTCTGTTTGCTATTGGAATTTAATGTCGACACGTCTTAGCAAAAATTATATTTACGTGTGTCTCAATAGAATCACGTTAGAAGTTGCCGAACTGAAGGACGCGATGTTAGCATGAAAACTGGTTAAGCAGCATGAAAATTTATTTATTCATACAAGCACTTGTTTCTGCGATTGCACTTCAGTTTAGTTCTCACTACAATGATTTGGGCGTGTTTTACAAAACGCTTCATTTCAAAAGTTTAATTCCTTTCGGAAGTATATTGACGATCGGAGTACAAACGTTCAGTAAAATCACGCCAGAAATATTAATTTGGCACGTTTGAGTGAAATATAAGGCACCGTTCAGAATTGCGTAGGTAGTCTTTTCGCGCTCATACTCTAAATTTCTCCTTAGGACTTTCTTGAAGCTTTATTTATTGAAAGCTGTCAGTAGATCATTATTTTATACTTTTAATTTCTTTTTACTAATGATTCATCTATTACATATTCCCAGGCTGTGCATTTATGAGGAAGACTTACAATTTTCGTTCTCTTTTTTTTTCTTTTCTCACTTCTTTTGCCATTTCCTTCTCACAATCCTTTCCCGATTTTTCCTCCTCTATATCCTTTTTGTGGCATGAGATAGACTGAGCAACTTGCAGATAATGTAACCACAGCTCCGCCTCCCTTTCTTGCCTTATCCCTGCCATCCCCTAACAAGGACAAGGAAGAGCGAGACAGTGACAGTGATCCTACGTCTGGGAACATCGCCGGGTCAAGAACTCCTGCGGGGCCGTCAGGTCAGCCATCGCCCAGTGGCGAGGCGTCGGAGGAGTATTTTCCGGAAGAAGACAACCTGAAGCGAGTCTCTGAGCCCAGTAGTGAACCGGGGGGTAAACCACCTCCCACAGCAAGCACTGCGCTCGACCCGAATAGGAAGAGAAGTCACTCCTGGAAAGGCTTCAGTTTCAAAAAACAGCTTAGTAGAGTGGATATAAAATTGAAGCAAACATTTTCTAATGCTCCTCAGACGGGTCAAGTGCCGCTGGGGAGCAGTAAACAGCCCTCGGTGACCATCTCCTACTCAGCTATAACTCCCAGTCAGTTGTCTCCGGTTGGTACGGATTCACCTCCGGACTCAACGGAAGACCTTAAAGAAATCCTCACTCCAGAGAGTGAGGATGCCCCTAAAAGCTCAACTGCCTGTCCCCCTTCTGACGACGCGGGCCTCTTCAGTCCCGACGAAGTCAGTGTTGAGTACGGCACCGAGGCGTGCGAATGCCTGAGTGACTCTGGCATGGACACTGGGTCTGATGCTGACAGAGTGAGTCGCCGGCCCGCTGACTTGCCCCTATTTGACGCCGATGGAAGGCCTATGAGGCCGCCACGCAGAAGAGAGAGCGTCATGAAGAAAGTCACGGAAAAGAGGGATGGCCGTCTTTTGTCCGTTCCAAATATTAAGTACCACCGCTCAGATCACCACCATTTGAGGGATCTCCGGCGAAAGGATGAGGCTTCATCGAGTGCTCCTGCATTTGGCGGTTTCATCCGCAGGTTCAGTAAGTGTCCCTTTCTTTCGTCCCAAATCATGCTTGGCCGTTCACTTTGTCGTATCTCACTCAATTTTCAATACTTTTACTATCGTTTTTGTTTCCTTTCGTCATTTTAATATTTAAATTAAACTGAAAGCAATGGGTATAGACGTAGTTCGCGTATAGCAAATATAGCTGAATGAAATGATTTGATGTACATAGGTCACTTTAGTTGATTTAGTGTGCTGTTTCGTTACCTAGAATGGTTACTGAGAATGAATCTGATACTTGCTTGTAAAATCCCGTTATTATATATTGAATGGTTGCTGGAAAGAACGTAAGCGCCTATCAGGAGCATAATTCAATCTGTATATAATGCCTTCCAGAACAAGAGCAATTATTTACATTTTTTGTACTTTGGTGCAAGGAAAGACACAGTATACACACGCACATGTCTCACATGCTACACACCGAAAACAGTGTATTTATTGCAGGCACAAATGCAGGCTTGTGGAGGTGGGGTCTCATCTCTTCTTGGTTCTGTTATTCACCCCAAATTGTTTATTCCAGTGCCACGAAACACGCTCAATTTTATTATTTTTCAAAGAACAGTGCACCTATGCTTCAATTGAAATCATGGTTTCCTGTTTGTTGTATGCACTTACTCATAACTTTAAAATTAAGCGTGTGTCCGTGCTACCCACGATTCCAACAACATGTCATGAATTAATTCATCACTGCTCTCATTTCAATGTTTTTGTGTTGTGTGTTGTGTTCTATCAAACCTAACCCCTTGACATGTTTCTGTGTCTGTGTTAAAGGAATCCGACGAGGAGCCGAGCTGTCTGAAGCTCCTGTTTGGTACATACTTATTGCAGTACTATTAACTTAACCCCAAAACTAACTCGGTAGGGAAGCTCTCCAGTGTATTGCCTTTTCCTCTGTGACAGAACTCCTGCGCTAGATTAACCCACTACTATGTGACTTAGTAAAGTCACTGTTATGTTGCTGATGTTCGCGAGGCTGTATAGGTACTTCTAGATGCACACTTAGACCGGTATAATTTTATGAGATACTTTCTATTTCTTATCGCGCGTTGTTTTCCTTTCAGAGATATTTATTCAACATGTCCTCCCTCGTTCTTTATCCCTGCGTCAACCCTCTTAACATATTCACTGCAGCGTAGTTGCGCTTATTACTTAGCGTACCACGCACAGTGAATTTGTTAAAATGTTTATAATTACCTGTTTGCTATTTCGTCTGGAATTGTCTTTAACATCCGGCTTCTTGTGTGCACATGTTATTTGCTTTGGTGATGGTGTTGCTAATGGGTATCATCCCAACCTTTTCCTGCCCTCTGCTCCTGCATCTGTAGCTAAATGGAGTGTGCGTTTCCCCAACATCTGGGAAACAGAATGTAGGAAGTGGTGCGGGAGCTGGTGTTAGCTCCCCGCGCAGGCCGCCTGAACCAGTCAAACGGTGCCGCTCCCAAGGTACCCGAAAACTGCAGAAATGCTTGAGCACGGCTTCATATTCAGAAGATGGCTGCAGTGGTGTTGGTGTTGCGGGTGGTGGTGGCTTATTTCCGCGGTCTCCAGAGCATCTACGTGCCGGGTCCCACAGCAACCTCCTTGTTACTCGACAATATTGCAGTTTTGGTAGTACCGTCACCTTTTTTGCATATTCATTTTAACTCTTAGACACTCTGCATACGTCAGCCCTTTAAACATTATCTTTAAATTTAATTCCTCATTTAACAATTGGACGAAGGTCAAAGTTTTTGAAACAATGTTTGAGGGCCTGTCCTCTGTGTAGAGTGTGATAACATTGTAGAAATAAGCGGTCAACAGATCATGAATTATCTAGAATGTGTTTTTATTTTATCCTGCCGATAGCCGAACTCACTCAAACTGCTTTTTGCAGTAGTAGTATAGCAAGTCAAAAAACTTTTTTTTAAATCACCTATTGAAGTACACGTTATACTGCTACACTTTAAATGTCCCCATATCTTAATGACAGTGGAATGCTTTTCATTCTCTCATGCGTCTATTTCTCTAAAATTCTTAACAATTTCATCATATTACATTTCGCACAGCTTTCAAGTCACTGCTCTTTATTATCATTTTAACTTAGAATCATGCTTCAAAATGCGCCTGTTACTTATATTCTAATTGATTTACACTTTGATTTACTCCTTTTGAAAGCATGAAAACTCGAAACCACAATTTACGACCAATTCTGCAAGTACATATTTTTAGCACCTCCACCTCTGAATTCTGAAATTCAACATGCAAACCGATCTTACGTATGATTCTTCTGGATTTATTTTTTATACTAAGTATTTTTGTAGTTCAAAAATCTAGTCTGCGTTTATTTGAAATAAGAATGAGATAGCTGTAGCATTGTTTGTTTACAGGGTGGCCTGTGTGTTCTCGTAAGTTTTATGGTGTGTTCGATGTTCATTGTTTTTGCGGCACTCTGCTGTTATACTTTCAGACCTTTGAAGCGCATTGATCTGTAAGTGGAGCTGAGTAAGCAGCCCCTAGTCAAATCATCCCTGGGCTGCAGACCACCTTGTTTACTTTCTATGCTACAGTTACTTTTTAAGATAAAATAGTTTATGATCTGTTGATTGATTCTCAAAACAACTAAGTACTTTAAGGGGCTACTTTATCCCTACAAATGAGTTGTTACCGTAGACACTGAGGAACAACTCTTAGTTGAATTACCACCTAAGTAGGATATAACTGATTCCTTTTAGTGTAAAAAGAGAAAACCCCATTGTCAGGAGAGATGTGTTAATCCACAGTGATAGCCACTTCTATGCAACAGTTCGTTAAACAACAATTTTATGAATTTTACTTCGCCTCTGTCTCACACTTACTCCCTGTAGTAATAAGAAGTAGAATGTGGCACTTTTGAGACGACTCTTCGTCTTCGTATTTGCGACACACTTAAATCCAGTCTTATCACTCACTCCTTCCAAGATCTTTTAGAACAGTCTTCTTAGATACAGCACCTTAAAGTAGTTTTACAGAGCATGAGGTATGTAAGGTAGTTTCTTTCTGACGGTGACGTACTATCCAAAACTACATTCTTCATATGTTTGTCAGCTGTGACATCGGTTTAGTCACTGAAATTCTGAATTTTCCCGTATTATATACTTCCTACCCCTCCTCTCTGTGAAATCCTCACTTCCTGTTGCCTTGTTCCGCACCCAATCCTCACTTTTTAACACTCATTTTGTGCCCTTCCTCCTTCTGTCTCTGTCTCTATGTGCTGACAAATGTGATCGTGTTTCGTGTGCTGTCCCGTGTCGTTTGATGCAAAGGTGCCTTGCAGACTGACACATTGGTGTGCTTACTGAACTGTCTTCCTTGTTGCTGTGCTCAGTGTGGAACACCCTATAACATTTTTTTTCTTTAAAGGAAGCAATAAATGTCCTGTTAGCACTTATATCTTATACATACCTAAACTTGATTTGAATTTTGCCGTTTCCTTCCAGTTTTGCTCCTTTTTACGGGCATTTTTATAGCGAGACATTTTAATTTATTGATAACGTGTTTGGCTTTTAGATTCTATATGTCTGACAGCCATTTTTAAATCCAATATGTCTATGAAATAAAGCCACTACACACCAAAAGGGGCTTTACATGCAATAAATTTTTTCTAAATAATTGTTTTTGCAATTGGCTCATTTTTATCTCTTAGAACCATCTGCTTTGTTTTTATTGTCGTTTCTATGGTATATTTCGAATTGTTTTTTTCTTTTAATACATTGTAAAACACTGAAAGCAACATTTTTTTATGGTTCGTTACTATGGCATGAGGAATGGTTTCTGTGTGCATCTTGGTAGCTTAGAAGTACTTCAGCTACTCGTTTTTCGAACTAACAAAAAGAATCATTATTGGTATTCCATTCAAAAAGCTTATGCTGTTACTTTTTACCAACCTCAGCAACTGTTCTCAAACAATGTGCACCTCTGCAAACAAAATAGTGCCCTAACACGACACTGACGAGTCCCTAGACCCTTTAAAATCACGCATTTGACGCCACGCTTTATGCAGTCACATCTTTGCTTTTAGTCTTCCTTTTCTTTCTGCCTCCTTAATTTCCGAAATTCGAATTCATAGCTCAATGCAAAACCAGTCTGATTCAAATTATTTGAGGTACATATACTTTTCCATTGTTTGCTTAACGTATTGCATTGTTTGCTTGTTTCATCTTCTACACTTGCTTGAAATAGAAACACGCATCATGATATATTAGGCAAGGCTTCAGTGGGCTTTTATTTATTCATAAAATTTGTTGGATGATAAAATTTGTACTTAAACGTAGAGGCTTGCGTTCATGACAACGCTCTGAAAATTGTACATACAAATGAATTCTTGGCAAATAAGTGTTTTTACATGCAATATCTTAAGTCTACGTTCAATGACCATGTGTTGACCTAGTTATTTTCTCAAGCAGATTAGTCTTTTAGCTTTACTCTCAGTTTTCTTGAGGTTTGTTTAGAAGTGGAACACTTTGAACGAGATCACCCTATTCACTTTAATTTCTATTCAAATTCCCTTCTCAACTTCTCTCCTGGCTATAATTTAAAGAGAGAAAAGTCATGTTCAAAATTTCCCGTGTACTCAAAAAACAACTAAATTCAGTACCATAAAAAATAAAGCAACGTAATGCAAAAGCAATTTTCTAGCTATGTAAAATCGTGCATGGTGTTCCGTGACAATTTGCGCCATTTGATCTTACGCACGCGACCTACTGTAATGAAACTGTGCCCAATAAATGTTAGGGACAAAATTATTACGGACACAGTTTTTATCAAAAAAACGAAAATCATCGTTGAAAATCGATCATACGGCTAATTGTCACATGTACATATCTAGTTAATCCACTAAGGAAAGACCCTTCTTTGCCATACAGGTTACACATCCCTTGTAGTTCAAGAGGCATCGAGTTTGCCTCGGGTTTCAACTTAAAACTTCCAGACATAATTTTATATCTGTAGATTCTCTTATTTCAACCTATAACAGAGGCCAGGGATGTTTAACCTAGGAAGGGCTTCTCAGCCGACATATTCTAATTTCTTGTTTTATCTATCTGTAGATAAATTGGATAGTTCTTTCTCAAGATCAAGAAGTTCAAGTATGTCTAGTCTTGAAAACATCAGTGCTGAGGCTATCCAATGCTTAGCCTTTGCTGATTCGTACACTAAAAAGGCTGGTAAGTATTTCTGGCTCTTAAATGTGCATATTTTTGTTCTTGCACTTTTTTTTACGGTTTCACGTTTTGTAATTTTAGATCCCAGTGCATACCCTACGCTGTGGGTTGGGACAAGCTTGGGATCGGTTTTAACCCTAATGATAACTGTGCCACCTGGTGATGCCCGTGCTTCGCAGCCAGTCGCCATAACTCCTTGTGGTGAGTAGCGACTTTGTTCCTTCTCAACTCTCAATTGAATTTAAATTCGTAACGAGGCCAGTTATTTGATCAAACGTCTTCTTTGACAGGTACAATTTTCAGGCTAAAAGGCTGTATTCTTACAATGTCATTTTTGGACTGCAATGGAGCGTTAATTCCCTATTCCTACGAGCCCTGGAGAGATGAGCACAAAGAAGGCAGGCAAAGTAAGAAAGCCTTATAATTACTGCCCCTCATTCTAAACTTTGATTTATGTAATGTGTTCTCTTTTGTACTTTGTAGAAACGCCCACTAAATCCGGTTGCAACAGCCGAATGTCTCCTACGTTGGGTGGCGCATCGGGCGTTGCTAGTGACCAGTTTGGAGACCGCCAATTCGTGGTCCTGACATCTGAAAAACAAGCTAGAGTTGTTGCATTACCTTCACACAATTGCGTTTACCGTCAACAAATCACAGACGGGGACGGTTTTGTAGTAAAGGCAGAAATAATATCACTAAAAGGTGAGAAATCTGGCTTATATTGCATCCTTCCCATGTGTACTGGCATTCGTGAAATATGCATAGCTGGCGTTTGTTGTATGTGTTGTCCAAAACCCAAAGGGTTAAGGGGAAAACGTCCAACATGACCAGACCATCCGTGTATCGCTGCTCTACTAACGCGCTCATGTTGGACTTTATTTACCTTTTACAGATAGCGTCTGCCTTATCGTCTACGTTTCCAGTGGCCATATCATTGCCTACAGTTTGCCAAGTTTAAGACCTTTAGTAGACATAGACTTTCTTCCTCTGGCAGATCTAAGGTACGTGTTTTATATTCTCTCTTTTATTTCTCGTTGGTGTAGCCCAGGGTTCTCCTACATCGGCTTTTTGTTATGTACGAAAGACACCATCGGGATACGTAGTTATATCTTTCTTTTGAAAAATATATTTAATAGACTGAGGTTGGTCCTATATTTTAACTGCTTATGTATATGATATTTCTTAATAGTCACAGATTTCTTCATAGGCATCCCAAATATTTAATCATAGTCAGACTCATTTCATTTATCATTCTGACAAGATAGAGTTGTGAAAATTTTATATCAGCTATGATCATGACCGTGTTATTTCTCTTTGCGTGTAGGGATGGTCCCAATATTCTCTAAACTAACTAAACTATGATCCTGGATAGACAACCTATACTTCTGTTTGTGTGACTTACACCTTCATCATAAATATATTCTTATCGCCTCTTTAGGGCTTGAGAAACGTGAAGGCGTAGTGTCGTGCACAATGCTCGTGCCAGTTAATCTAAAATCTAAATATTTTATGTCAACTTTCACTTTTTACACCGAATTTCAAGGCTTTACGCAAGAGCACTTCACAGCTTACCATGTATATTTTCCTCCCTTTGTGCAATTTTCATTCAATGGAAAGCCTGTTTGCAAATTGAAATGATTGAAAATTGGGTTAATCGCGCACGATTTGTTGCATGAGTGATATCACGTGGGGCACGATGTGAACAAACACCACGCAAAAGTTTTTGTCCCAGTCACACGATTGTTAGATTTAATTTTATTGGCTTTTTTATCGGTAGCAAATCCATGTTTCTGCACATAAATTTTGTCTGACAGGTCTGATTGGTTAAAGTTAAATTCGATTGCATAAGAAAATTCATTGGCAAACGTCATGGACTTGAAGGGCTGGATCAGAACAGATCGTACGCCTATAGCCACGATTTGTGCAGATTCCTCCCCCCCCCATCTCCTTCCTGTTTTTTCTGAACTTAACATTTATTTTCCTGTCATTGAATAGACATGGCTTTTATGCTTCCGCTCGTTTGTTGAAGTTCCCTGAAGAAATCCAACAACGAGATCCAGAGTTGTATTAACTTTGCTTGGTACATTGTCTCGTGCCACTCCTTTGTTTGGCATGATTTGGGCCCATGCATGACAGGCACTGTTTTCTGCTTGACTACATAACAGAAGTGCCGTATATACGGCAATGATTTAAACAGGCAAATCATTTGGGAAAAAGCTTGAACATGCATTTGCATTTTAACAACTTTTGCTAAGGCAAATTCTGTTCTTTTACATGCTAATATTTCCAAATATGTTTGTCAGAACTTTGGTTAGAAGTTAGTCCCCTGATATCTTTGTTCCTTCGATAAATTAGAGAACTATTGCCAATTTTTGTATTGTTCCTTCTGACAGTTTTCAGACAACGAAACAAGGCATTGTAGACCCTATGTTGTCCATATGGGGCCAACAGATGTTTGTAAATGAAGATACTGACCAGTAAGTGGGTCTGGGTTGTGGTCTTTGAGCCCCCCAGTACGAGAAAATATACACTCACACACAAACATGCCAAACCAAAAAAATTACTTCTGACAATTCATACATTGCCTTCCCTTTGATAAAAAAATACTTGATGTGCAAATGCGTATCTTAAAAAGTTAAAAATTATACTTTGTAAAAATACTTTTATTTTCAAATGTTTGAAGTAGACAAAGCTGTGTACGGCCAAAAATTCCTCTAGCACAAAAGGTCACAATTTGTTCTATGCCTCTGCGTGACACTGTCACATATTTTAGTGACATTTATGACTCTGAAAATTCAGGTCATTTTGGTGTGTCTTTTGTGGCTTTTGTGGCTTAGTGTTTTCTGGGATTTTCACTGTGGTTTTAACGCAAATTCAAACATATCTTTTTAACTTCAAAACTTAAAATAATAATAACATGATATTATTTCACTTTCTAGTACGCACGGCACATCTTCCAAAAAAAACTGCTTTTTATCTCATAAGAAAGGCGCTTATGATCGTATTAGCAAGCACTGACACTCTTCATCTGCATTGCATTACGTCGCGATTATTTTAGCATGCCTTGGAACAAAAATATATACGTCCAATTCGTTGTTTTGTAGTTGGCCGGATGGGAGTAGGCTTAAATTAATAAACGTTTCGGGACTTTTCTGAGAGTGCAGACGGAGAGCTGTCTTATGTCTATGGCTTTTGCATGTGCCTAGAGTAAAGAAAGGCAGCTTAATCAAGTCCCAGCACGGCGACTGAAGCTTAGGTATTCCCTGTCTTCGTCATCCTGGAATGTGACAAACTTCTAAGGCAACTGAACAGTGACAAATTTCAACACTAATTCAGTTTATTGTTTCGTATTGTAATCTTTGCAATATATTTTTATGTTTGTTGGTGTTCATTTGCCACTTAAATAAAACACTCACCCACACTCTAAATACCAATTTGCATGTGCATGGTCTAGATTAATCTTGCATGTTCTGCACGACCTAAAATGTTTTTGCATGTTGGCATCCAAACAATGCATGAACAAGCATGTCACTGCATGTTTTTTTTTGTGTTATGTGATTGTTCGCCATCTATGCTAAGTGTATGGTTGCAGTGTCCTTGTCACGGGTGTTGGGCTAAACTCCTTCCCCATTTCCACATAGTCGTGATCAATTCGTATAGGCTAATGGTGCAACGCTTCTCCCGCCTTTTTGTTTATCCCTGTCCAGCCGGGAGAACCGACACCGGAAGTAGGAAAGGCCTTGAATTGTCCTGACGTTTGGATTGGACCCCAAAAGCGGTGGATTAATTGTGGTCAAGACTTATTTAAGTGAAAAGATTCACGAGGCGCGGAACGCCTGCGTTCCACGTGAATGACATCTTGATCTTGGTTTGGGCACATTTAGGTCGTTTTTGTGAACAACCGTTCCCCCGTGGTTTATTTGGGGGAAGCGTGTGAACAGTATACTGCCACCGAGGTTGTAGAGCATTAGATCAGAAGCATACTTTCTGCTCATGTTTAGTACGTGCCTCGGTTTACTATTGACAAGAATGATACAAAGGTAGTTGTCTACTAATGCCCTTGGTTTAGTTCGCTTCCTAGATGTGCATGGACCACGAGAGGCATGACACGCATGCGAAAATTTACTGGGTTTATTTTAACCTGTGGATAGAATGAGGCTCAAAAATAAATAAATAGTTCGCTGCACGATTCCTGTGAAAAAGAATAATAACTCCAGGTTGAGAGCAATGTTGTTTTTCTTTATCACTTTACCATATTTGACTTTCTTGAAAACTCTAAGCATGCGTCTCTATTTCATAAAGAAAACATTGCCACCTCATGAAAACGCTCGTTCCAAACACTGTGCACTCCTTACCGATTTTCAAAACTACTGTCAAAATTTACGAACATACAGTCGTCCAAATTCTATCTTAAAACAATTTTGTCAACTCTTTTTTTTTCTCGAACGAGGTCATGAAGTCATTTTGGCCGTTACATTACACGATAAACTTTCCAAGGTCACACGCTCATACCCTTTGAGTAACTGCTTGTCATGGCACTTTACTCACTTACTCAACGGAGAAAAATAGGGGAAAACGACGAGTTTGGCTAGGGTCATCTAGGGTCTCTGCTTCACCGGGGTCGCCGTTTCCATTATATCAAATTTTGCGTATGAATAATTATTCTTACTCCATTATTCGGTGTTATTTGTTCAAAATACTTATTTTGTCTCTTTATGTTTCTTTTATATTTATTCAAAATTATGTGTGGATTTTCAGTGTGACTAGATGTAATTATTGTTTGTCCAGTGCGTTTCTCTAATGGACATGATTGCTGATTTGCTTAGAACGGAATCTAGCCTTTGCCGAATCGCAGCGCAAAAGCTCGTCAGAGCTGGTATAATAATCTATTTGTAGCTAAGCATTAGCAATGCGCTCGACGCAATATGCAAACATGTGAGCATTTTGCGAAAGAATACGACTGTAAGCACTCTAGTGCATTCTAGTGTTTAGGTGGTCGATGTTGATGTTTGATTATCAAGTACCTTGAATTACGAGTTGTATTCAGTGCTCATACGCATGCCCGCGTATTCTTTTTCTATATTGCTCGTAATTTTAAGTAATTCATAGATACATAAATTAAGAGCTCTGAACGACGGTTTCCTTTCTTAAACGTGTATTCATACTGGCTAACCTCTCGTACCATAAAACTTCTTAGTACTTCCAGTTTAAGACAAAGTTGACCACTAATTGCTAGTACAATTCGTTGTTCCAGTCTTGTTCAGAGCCCACTTTTCTGCGTTTTGCATGGATGGCTTGCTTTTGAATAACTGTAATATGCAGACGTTCGGTTTTCTGGGGCACGAATTCAATTGAGTCAAAAGAGCACGGCAAAAGTACCGCCTGGGATTCCCAGGCGCATCATGGGAAAAAGGGCCTACTTTCCAGGCACCGCCTGGGAATCCCAGGCGGTACTTTTGCCGTGAGGTCGTTATGATTGTTGAATGTTGCTACAAAGCTTGCCTGAAAATACGTACTTAATTGCTGGTAAAACAGACAATGGAGTTCGTAAAACCCGCTTTGAATACGAACGTCTGCTAAAAAAAACTTCGATGCGCTCGCTAATTGCGCAAGCAAAAAGTTATGTGGTTGTTTGCCCACGCGACTGTGGAGTACGATGCAGGTGCCGCGACACTAGAAGTAAGACCAGAGAGGCACTCTTGTGCCAGCAGCACACCGCCCGCTCCGACTCCTTTAACAGGTGTTCCAGTTCAACTTGAGACAGATCAGTGCGATATGTGGCCTCGCCTCTGGGGCCGCCGGGCCGAAGCACCACTTAGCGCCTGTGAGGTAGGCCGCAGGCCCGCACGGCAACACACTGATGTGGAGACGGTGGCCTACCTTGCCCCTGTGAAGATGCCAGGGGCTAGGTAGGCCACCGTCTCTTCACACGTGTGTTGCGAGACGGGCCAGTGGCCTACCTCACAGGCGCTAAAAGCGCTACAGGCATGCGCAAGCGACGCTTTCGGAGGACACGAGTTTCGGAGACGACGATAGGCAACCTATCGCACTGGCCTGTATTCGGCAGTTTTGAAAAACCTGCTAATCTCAGAGAAACGTTTCATGAGACTGTTGGCGAGTCGAACCAAAAAAGGGCTTATTAGTAAGCTACGATAACTTTTAAATGATTGCATACTTGATGCTGACTGCTTTCCAAAATGTACCTGTACTGTTTTGTGTGGCTGCGCTCAGTCGCTTTGTGTTTTATTTTTATTCATTCTGCCATTGAAAGCTAGATGTGCTCAGTAGACGTAATGTGAGACGGCGATTTAATGTTTTCTTTGAGTTATGCCCCTTTCATTCATATGGAATTTTAAATTTACAGGATAGCGAGGACTTTCTGCTTTAGCAACCGAGGCCATGGTCTTTTCCTGAGCTCACCTACAGAAGTACAGAAGTTTACAGTTTCAGCAGAATTCTGGTAAGCACTAAAGGATTCGGCCGGTTGGCGTATTGCCTCTGTGTTACTCGCAACTTCTCAACTTCTTTTTCGTTTTTCAGCGCAAGTTTAGCCGAGATGGTCGGTGAGCTTTTCCTTCCTCATGACATGCCAGAACCACCGAAACAGAGTTTTCTGCAAGGCTTGTTTGGAGGTGGTGTGAGAAACCTCGACAGAGAAGAGCTTTGTAAGTACTTCACCAGACAAGCAGTCTGCAGTGAAACTCATGCAATGCCAGACAAAACTGTGAATATTCTCTTAGTCTCCAATTTACTGTGCTCTCCAAAAGTGTTGACATGGGAACCGATTTCTCCTTCTTTTAGTTGGAGAGTCGAGTGGCCGGGCATCGAGGAGTATTGCCAAGCATATTCCTGGTTCTGCCACAAACTTGGAAGGCTTAAAACAAAACTCGTCTTCTGCTGCTGGTGCAATATCTCAAGCACACATGATGGCTGTGGAACGAGGAGATAAATTAAGTCAACTAGAAGAACGCACACAACGAATGATGAATGAAGCGGAGAACTTCTCATCCTCTGCACATGGACTCATGCTCAAGTACAAAGACAAAAAGTGGTACCAACTGTGAATTATCAGTATTGCTTCTGAAAAATGGTCAGTCAACATGTGTAATGTGAGCTACACTGGATACTAGTCGTGCATCCGATGGTCTGTGTTTAAACACACCTCGGGCACTTCAATGAAGTGATTACGATTGATATGTCCTGATGTAGTAATTTGTAACATGGTTCAGGTTGATCCAGTGTTGCTGGTTTCAGCAAGCCGTGTTTTGTGCACTTTGTGTCCTTATCAACACGCCTTCTCTTCAGTCTGAAGGAAATCTTGCTCTGTTTTTCTGTAATGAACTTGCATTGCACCTTTCATGACTGAGGTCCTAGTACCGGGGCAGGTTGGGGTTCATTGCAACACACAGTTTCATGCACGGTGGCTTAAAATACCATGATCTGAGAAAAGACCATCATTTGTCAGACAAGCAAAATTAAAATTTACTACTGAGTAAATTTAATGTGCCAGGACAAACTTTCTTATTGTTCCTCTACTGATATTCCATATGCGTCTTTAATTTGAACATATTTGATTTGGTGGTGTGTGCATGACCTCAGCTCTCCCTCAGTTTATGAAAATTTCCTTTAAATTATCATGTACTATTTGATAGTAACATTGGTCATTTACATTTTAAAATGGTGTATAAATTTATTATGGGCAATTTTTCGCATAAGACCAAGCTTGCATCTGTCATACGACCAATATCGGCATATCGTTTTCTATTGAGGTGGTCTTGGCGACAATGCTCTTACTTTCTTGTCATTGCGGTGGCTACTTATGTAAACTTTCTCTGCTAAGTCTCTGTACACATTTATTCTTCCCATAATACTTCAGTTTAGCAAGACCCCCTCTCTGTACTGCACATCACTTGCTACTTACCTGTAAGGAATGGTGCGAGGATGTACCGTGATTCAATCCATTTGTTACAGTCATTTTGTTGAGGTATCCAGAAACTTGGATGCACACTAATGGCTGTTGTGTGTGTTTGTGTGTGTGTTTGTGTGTGTTATGTTTGTTCATGTGGATGTTTGTGGTGTAACCCCACCAAAAGGGAAGTCGTTTTGTTTGTAATTTTGTTACTAATGTTGTAATATTTTTGTTACATATGTTATATTGTACATTTTCTAGTTGACTTGTACCATGAAAACGCTTATCATATTGGATTTAAAAGATGTGGTGTGACATGTTGGTAAAAAAAAATTGTTGCAAAAGCTGTCTAAACCTAACTGCGTATCCTATAAAAACATCATAGTCAATACCTTAGCATGCCATGCATGATATGAAAGCGCTTCCTTGCGCATGCCATGCAAACCTTGTCTTATATTGTTGAAGAATTTGTGTCATAAAGAGAACTGTACTAATGGGTCCGCTGGCGGATGAGCAAAACGTTAAAAACTTCTGTGAAAGCTCCTATTTTCTGAATACATCAGTGGTGTTACGGAACTGCATATGTGATGTGGTTTATGAGTAGTAAGTCTCCTGAAGGAGCATCTTCCTTTTTGTACTTCTTTGAATAATATACTAGTAAATTGTTGTAGTAAATTGGTTAAATTAGATTTAAGTTATGAGCACTAATGCTTCAGTCATATCTTCCATAGTATTCAAAGTGCTGAGTATGTCGTTGCAATGTGATAAATACAAATTATACTACTGCTTCTCTCTGAAATGTGAATATTGTTTTCCATGTGTGAAAGGAGAGGTAGATATTCCCTGTACAAAGGCCAGGCTGGCTGCAACTGCTTCAATGCAGACATTTCTGATTATTCTAGTGCTTGCAATATGTGAGATGTTTAATTGTTCTGTTGTTCTCTGAAACTGTATCTATTTAGCAAACATGTCCTCATCGACGTGGTTACCGAAACTATTAAGGTATTTGGAAAAGTGTTATACCACAAATGTAATCAGCTTCGCACAAATCCAATTTTAAACAAAAACAAATCAAATTGAACATATCTTTATTCATTTCTTACATGTTTTTCAACATGAGATAATTTGTAAGACCAGTCTCTTATGGGCCTACAGTGAGTTATTTTATCGGCTCTTTCTGGTTGGAGTTTATACAATTTCATTCCTTTTTTAAAGGAGCTACATTTACTCATTGGGCGCCCTTTCCCATCAAAAGTAAATGGTCAGTTTTCTCTACTTTGGTTCATCAATGTGAATCTACAAAAATAGTAGCTCGATTTGTAGGCACTGTCATATGTAGCTTTTGTATGTGAGCATTCATGTACTCAGCTATGCTTTTCTTGGAAATTGTTAGAGCGAACATTTTCCCTCAGTTAAGAGTCGTGTATAACATTCCAGAGCAATATATCCTTTTTCTAAAGGGAATTACTTATACAATAACATGTATCTACTTAAATAGAGATAGAAATAGTTACAAAGTACCACTTTTTCCAAACAAAAAAAATACTCTGAACAATACATGTAAGATGCATGAGTGGCAATATTTCATGGTAGGTGTTGTAGAGTTAATCGATCTCCCCGTTTAAAGGCCTTGTCTTTTGTTGTGACAAAATGTGACAGAGCGACGTCATCTGCTGTACACACTTCATTTTAATCTATTTTTCTAATGCTGAAGTGGGAACATTTGAGCAAGTGCAATTGTGGTTTGTGTGCTGCAGCTATTCATGTGGGATCCCAACATAACATGTGCGTACCATCTGAGATTAATTGTTTTGCAGTTTTTCGGTCATGTTCTTGCATCAGCCATGTTAAATTTTAACAAGAGACAGGATCAATATTTTGTTTAGGAATAGAGAGACAATAACTCTGAATGGAAGAACCTTGAAATACCTATATGAAACTTCTGGCACTGTTTCACATCCCCAAAGTCAAGTCAAAAAGCTAGAAATTTTAGAATGTAGTATTAAGCTAGACATGTGTGTATTTAGGCTGTATCAAATATAAACTCTCTGGCTCGCATTTTTTAAGTAGCCAGCAGGCCACCTTAAATGCATGGAAATTTTAATATGGTTTGGAGGGAGTAGACTTACGATGAAACTGTTTGAAATATCTGAGATCAAGATCTTTAGACAAACTCTTTGCAAAACTGAAACTCTAATATCCACATTGCAATATCTCAAGTAAATTTAGGAATTAGTATTTCAACATATAACAGTATTTGACAAATGATTTCCTCTTTTTGATTTTCAGAAATGTAAGGTACGTAGACAGACAGGGTATTTGAAATGGGTGTCTAAATGTTAAGGCACACTTGATTATCAATCCTCTGGAAGAGATGTTTGTCAATCAATGCAACTGCCTCTGTGAGAGCACAATGCACATTCAAAAGTAAGTGAATTAGCTGGTATTGTGGGAATTTCAATAAATTTAGACTTCTTGTACGTGCTATTTTGTAATCAGTGTGTTTTCTAAGCTCTTTACAACGTGAAATTTCGGGCCAAAACAGCGTTAGTTTCTTGAGCTGTCAATTAGGATCAGGAAAAGTGCATCTCAAGCTCATTCCTATACCCATTTCTCCCTATTCCCTGTTGTTCATGTCTTGTTATGCAACAACGAATTATATTTTTAGTGCATGTTGTTTCTCTAATCCTTTCAGTTGTAGCGTAAAAGAATGAAAGGCAAAGTGTCTCTATTCTGAAAAAAATAGATAAATTGGGTTCCCATGTGGTCTGCACATACAATGCGAATGAACTGTACGTGAACTCTTTAAGTACTTGTGCCTTTATCATTTGTGTTTGTTGAAGTGAACAATGGAGGGTTGAGATTGTATTGATTAATTGTTAATAGTTTGATTATGATGCTAAGATTTGGTAACCCTCCTTCAAATTATTCAAACTTTAGACCTGTAAATAAAATAAAATTTATATTTAGGGTACTAATTGTAACTGTTCTTCTATACTGTACTTAAGTGAAATCATTAAAGAAAGGGAATCATGTGATATTATATTCTGCCCATTCTTGGTTGTTAACCTGATATTTGTTAATGTGTAAATTAATGTTAAATAAGATTGTTGCATTAAAATTTGTCAAATCTATGTTCGTTCATGAATATAGAGTATTGAAGTGTTTTTTGGGGGGCGGGGAAATGAAATGGTCTTGATTTGAATTGTTAGACTGTAAAGCAGTTCTGTATGTATAGAATGATGTAAACGATGATAAATATTTAGTTAGCTCGAAATCGCGAGGGTCAAGAGACAGAGCACAATCTTCATGACCGTATCACGGTTTCAAGTTATGGAATTTGTTGAAGATTTACTTAATAATTTTAATCATTTTTTTTATTGGTTAGATTCTTGAGATGTTGCATCTTTCCCCTTTATCTCGTTTCAGAATGTTGGGTTGTTTTCATTTGTTGTTCTTTTATTTTTACTCAGAGTGTGTGCAAGTAAATCACTTAACTCTAGAAAATGTATTAAAATATTGATAGACAATAAGAGATGAAATTGTGTGAATATTTTATAAGATTTCTTGTATGTGTACAGAATGAATGTCAGCCTTATAAATATGAAGTATTAAAAGCGAATTGTTTAAAACATTTGTTATAAATGTTTCTTGCCTGTCAAGTTGGCTACCAATCATCGTGCAAAACTCAGATGTGTGGAAAGTGCCACATTGCCCCTGCAGCGTGGTCCTGAATCAGTTGACTGCTTGGACAGCTGCAAAATCTCTGTCACGAGTAATTGGAGTCACGGGTCGGTCCGTCGCACACGGTCGGTCCCGGTCGAACGGTCACATGGAACATCACTAACCGGTGGCTTGGTCGGCAAGAGCGTCGCCCAAATCTTTTCATGAGTTTGGTTCCCAAACTCTCAGTTCACCTCACTTCACGAACCCGAAGAATCAGGTAACCATGGGTCTGAGTTTGGGCGGAGACACGATTTGGTGGCGCAGGAGTTCGGTTCAAATCCCAGGTATAGAAATGTTTTCCTCTGTTGAACCTCGAATCCGGTAACTTACCATTACTTCCAAGATTGGCGAGCGAATTTTCATCGTCTCGGTGGCTGGGAGCGCAGAGGAGGTGTTCGCGCTGAGAGACTTTGATTCGAATCCCGGGTACCGAAACATTTTTCTCAGTTGACTGCATGAATGCGGTACAATTAGCCCAAGTTCAGACTGAATCACGTAAAGGAGAGCCTCGGTGGCTCAGGGGGCTGAGGTGTCGGTCGTTGAGAGAAGCACTCGGGTTCAAATCCCGGCTAAGCGTGTGGCTTACGTTTTCCGCCGCGGTGCTGCTTTTGCAGCAGCGTGTCAGATGGGTGGCCTACCTTGACGGCGCGGCTCATACACTGAATTAAAGGCCAGATATCTTCCAAACAATCTTGGCTGTTAAAGAGTGCAAAAGAGTGTTCCTGCCGTCAGCCTCCGTCAGCGTGGCAAATGGGTGGTCTATCTTGGTGGCGCTGCTCTCTGTATATCACCTCTAGGATGCAAAAGAGTTCCCGCCGTCGGCTCCCACCCCCCCTACCCCCCCTCCCAGAAGGAGAGGGGAGTAGGGGCAATCATAAAGGGTTAGTAACCTGACCTGGCTGGTAGCGAACCAGGTCCAACGGGAAACATGTGCTGCCGCATGGCCTCCACAGCCCATCGCTCTGCCACCTGAGCTACGACAACACACCTGTCCGACACGTCCTATCTTAGAGTGATGGTACCGGGGTTGAGAAGTAAACTGAGGAAAAGATTCACTCAACTGGGAATCGAACCCAGTTCTTCCTCCCACCGGCCGACACCTCTACCATATCGACCATCCAGCCACTGAGAAGCGTCGCGATCTATCTTAGAGTGATGGTACCGGATTTGAGAAGTAACCTGAGGAAAAAGATTCACCCACCTGGGAGTCGAACCCAGGACTTCCTCCCGCCAGCTGACACCTCTACCATATCAGCCAACCAGCCACTGAAATACAATGCGATCAATCTTAGAGTGATGGTACCAGATGTAAGAAGTAAACTTAGGAAAAGATTCACTCCTGGGAGCCGAACCCAGGCCAGCTAAAGAAAATAAGTTTGTCATTGGGATTCGAATCCAAGTCCTCATTCGAAGCGGCCGCTGCCTCTGCGCCCGGAGCCACCGAGACACATAAGCCTCCACAGCGTTGCCGATCGACCGTCCGACCGACCGTCTGCGACCGACCGACCCATTGTGGGATCACCTTACCAGCTACTAGCATGACCACATATCTGACAACTTTGATTTTTTTTCGGGTGAGAATTGGTTTTTCTTTGGGTTGAGTTTGTAGGGAATGAAAGTCATCTTGAATCTGATAAAGCACTTTATTACAAGCATTTACATAAAATGAGAATACAATTTATTTAAACAAGTTGGTTTTCACAAAAACAGCACACCTGGCTGGGCCAGCCACTGCCAGCGAATTTCTCATTAGCTGGATAATCTGAGTCCATTAAAATATTACACTATATTCAAACTTAACACAGTGTCATTTACTCTCTTTAATTGGGGTTCCTGACCTCCAACTTTACAAATTCTTTCTTCCAGGTAATCACTACCCTCTTTCCTCCTTGAGGCAACATTAAAACAAAAGATCTTCCAAGAAATAAAAGCAATAAATAAGGTGAGAATTTGAAAGACCAGCCTAAAGTGATCAAGGAAGGTATGATACACACAGCAGGATGTTACATGATGTTACACAAGGTTACAGAAGTTAAGTAATATTTCTACCGACAAGTCAGCAGCAGGAGTGCAAATTGAAGATTACTTATTACAACATTAGTCACTCAGAACTTACTAGCATTTCTAACATTGTTCAGAGCTAGTAATGGAGAGATGGACAGGCAAAACATGTTGTTTGCGCATGCACATGTCACACATGATAGAATGGTGCCAGGTCATAAACAACTGACTCCATCGTGCTGCCTCTGCACATATTGACTTACAATTTTGTTATTTTGAAGGTTTAAAGTAAACAATTGAAGAAAAACAAAAGTAAGAAAAAATATAATGGTATTGCCTAGCCCCTGATAAACTGCCTCTCCTGCTCACTGCACATTTTATTTTCCATCTGACTAGGTGAGCTTAAATTTCATTTTAGTACCACACATACTTTGAAAACCGTTACAAGTAAAAAAGGAATTAAAATACCACTTAATTATGATGCATATTTAAAAGCAGTAATTGGAGTGGGCTGAAGAAGATGACGACAAGGGCCTAGCTGCTAAAATCTTCTTGCCAGTTGCGGCTGGAAGTGTGTTTAGCTGCCTGTTGACCCATGCCCACCATTTTGCTTAGCACCATTGTTCACATTTTATGCACTATTAATCACCAAGGTGTCACACGCTCACATAAAAATTCATTTATTCAGCAGTCTTCGGGTTACACGCAAAATTCATTCAAGTACACACTGTATTTTGCAGGGTCACTTAGTGCACATCTTTCTGCTCATTCATAATTTTCCTAGTCTACATCGCATGCTTATGATAACAAATCTGAAATGTGGAAGAAAATGTTAGGTTTCTTAAAGACAGATACCATTAAAAATTACTTTTCAACACTTGACCAGAACATGGTTGAACATACCTGTCACAACATTTGAGTCCTGTTTCTTGCTGAGAGTGGAATCATTGAATGCTGCAATGAGCGGAGCTGGACCATTGATAAGTCCATTATTTGCATTAAGATTGGAATTAATGCAGTCTTCATTTGACAGAGAACCCAATAGATCGCCACTGTGAACAGAGTTGTGTTCAGAGAGGTCTAACAGCACGTTTGCTGCATTATTCTGTTTTCTAAGAAAAATGAAAAGAAAGAAAAGTCAAGGGGACTGTTTATACAGCAAAGATAAGTAATGTAGGGGGAAGGGGAGTGAGGGGCTGGAGGAATCCTTACATGCTGTCCATGCCATTGCTGTGTCCATTGCTTTGACTAGAAGTTGTGGCTGGGGAGACAGACTTTGCTTCCTGAATAGTTTCAGAAGGCTGTGGCTCCTCGTTTTCTATTTGATTTAAATCACCATTTTCCTAAATTTGAAAGGAGAAATATTTAATGATGTGATCTCAAATAATGACAAAGCACTCTGATAGACACTGTGCACAAATCATTAATTTTATAATTTAAAGTTATTATGTACCTTAGTAGGAGTAGAGGTAGGTGTGGTACCTTTACCACGGGTACGTAGCATTATAGCTTCTACCCTCTTACGACGCTCCATACGTTCTTCTTCTTCTTTCTTCAATTTCAGTTCCATCTCTTTTCTTTGCCTGTAAAGCAACAGATTTCACATTTAAAAACATATTTCTTGAATTGAATGTACAAAAAATGTACTGTAGGTTAAAGATTGACCCATACTTCTCAGCCTCCTCCTTTGCTTTCTTTTCTGCTTCCTCTTTTTCTGCTTTCTGTTGAGCTTCTTCCTCTCTCCTTTTTCTCTCCTCTTCCTCCCTCTTTTGAGCCTCCTGGAATCAAAAGACGAAAGATGAGTAATTACCCTATGTCACTTGTATTCTGTTTCCAAAGTATATCATTCAATTTTGTCATTTACCTCAATAGCTTGCAAGAGTCGTTGCTCCTCTGCCCTACGAGCTTCTACCGCTAACCGTTCCTGCTCTTCTTCAAATCGCCTTTGATCTTCTTCCTCTTGGCGTAATCTTTCTTCTTCAGCCAAGCGCTCTGCTTCCTACAATTTAAAAAAAAAACACAATTTAGTTTTATAAAGCCCTTGTTAATGAACAGAATTAATTTATACATATATGCACTTACAAGGCGTTGTCTTTCAAGTTCTGCTTCTCTTTCCGCTTGCTCCCGAGCAAGACGCCGTCTCTCAGCAAGGGCAGCCTTGGCTTCCTCTTCAGTAGTAATACGCTGTTTGGCAATCATAGAAGCGGTCATGTCCACAGCTTCAGAAGACAAGTTATCTGTAGATACAGGAGCAGATGTTACACTGGTTGAAAAGTCTTCAACCTGTCTGCTTGCTTCCCATATCTGTTCTTGGTGTTTTTGCTCCATTTGCTGGAATGTGAGCTCTGCTGGAGCTGCCGGTGCTGCTGGCTCATCCTTAGGGCCATTCGTTGGCTCCTGCACAGAAACCAATGGCGCTTCCGGGGCTTTGGCCTGCAGCTGCAGTGGCGATGCACTGGGTAATGATGCGTGCGCAGGCGCAGGTGCAGGCGAAGGCGCAGGTGCTGTTTCAGCTGGAGGACTCGGAGCTACCGATGTGGCAGCTTTAGGAGAAGGCTCCGCAACCTTAGTTTGATTCAGGAAAGGATCTTGCGGCAGTGCTGGTGCAGTATCAGTTCTTGGTGACTGGAGGGGTGTTGCTTTAGGAGTCGGTCGAGGTGATGCCTAGTGAAAAAAATAACAAAATAATTAACAGTTCAAAATTATTTAACAGTTCAAATTATTTAAAAAGTGGAAATAGATGATGGTGTACCTTGACAGTCTTTGGAGGCTTCTTGGGCGGAATAGAGGAGGTGCTATCAGAGCACGGAATGGCACCGTACATGCTGGCAGTCATTCGGTCAGAACTAGTTTTCCTAGAACTGCTTCCTGTACGTGGAACAGGTGGCTTGTCTCCGGTTCCATTGAGAGAGGCCGCGGCTGCTGCTGCCGCCGCTGCTTGCCTCTTATGTTCAGAGCTTAAGCCTGGAGGAGAGAGAAACATTAGCAAATAAACATCGACATTGACAGGCCTGCACGGTGTGCTGAAGTGCTTTTACTCACTGTGCCTTGGCGGAGGGTCGATCGTGACCCCAGTCACTGCGATGCTCGCTGGCCGCGGCCTTCTAGGTGCAGCCACGGGCCTGGAGCGCATTGGAGCGCCAATGGAGGAGCTCACGCTGCTCATTGACTGCTGGCTCATGGCACTCAAGGGTCTGGAGGGAGTTGTTTCACCTGAACGTAAGCCTGCACCGGGAAAAGAGAAATCAAATGCAAGTTAGATATTTCATTTATGATACTTAGTATTATAAACTCAAAACAAATTGTAAAATTAGGTAAACGACACGTGACAAGATGACACAAGCAATTTGACTGATCTTAATTTTTTAAATCTTGCTTTTAAATGGGAGGAAGAAAGAGTATGTTATAAGAGACAAATCATTTCAGTAATTTACAAATGAAATCACAGGAAATGTTCTCTTCATTAGTTAATTGATCAATCATTAACATGCAGTGTCATCAGTCAATTGCCTTGAGTTAAGTTATGTTAAGCTTTATACGCTAAAATTAAACAACTAATTATAACTGTTCCAATAACCATTAAGTTCCTTGCTATGGGTCATTAAGTGTAAAAACATTTTGTCTTAGCTGGTGCAACTAAGACATAAAATAAAAACTGTTGTGGAATGCAGTGCAAAAATACCACAGATGGTCTCTGGGAATCTTTCCAAGAGGCCTAAACACAAAAAAAAAAAACATCTCTTCAAAACAAATCAATCTTAACTTAACGTAATATCCGGACAATAACTCTTTTCTTCTTTAGCACAAAGTTACAGCTTCATCAAACATTGAGACGTTGCGATTCATCAGAAAAGTGTACTTTCATTGTTTTATAAAGTAAGCTGGTTAGGATTAAAAGACGAGGAAGTAAGTAGCTCAGAGAGTGAGAGAGAGTCCAGAGTACAAAAGCTTTTCCCAGCGTAGAGGTAAGGACACACTCACAAAGTAAACTTTCTTCAGAAAAGTGTAGGAAAACATTTGATAGAACATAAGACAAGTACACAAAACAATTCACATGAGAAACAACAGAAAGGTGACACTTTACAATGTGTAGAAGGCAATATTCCATCCAGATCCTTATTTCTTTATCTTCGCCCAACAAATTTGTATTCTTAGGAACTCTTTAACTATATGCACTAACGGTAAGGCTTCATTGGTTACATGGTTGTACATGGCTGTACATAACTTCCATAAAAGTCAAAGTTGGAAACGCTTATGAGTTCAACATGGAAACAAGATGTAACACAGTGGAATATTTCAGAGCCAATCAGTTTGTAGGAAAGAGTAAATAGCAATGATGTACATTGGATACCGAAAGTTTGTCCTTACATATCAAGTGTTAAGTACCATGACCAAAATAGATTTGGCTGAGTTGTAAAATAAATTTTTAAAAATGAAAACAAAAAGCTGGTGAATACAAGTAAAACAAAATGTGCAAGGACTCTTACCTCACCAGGAGAATAGAACAGAGTTGACCAATCACCGGAGAACAGACATACTCACTGATAAATAACCACCACCGTCAGAAAGAAAAGAGAAAAATGTAAACACCATGCAAAGCACTGCTTGTTTAAAATGATACTAAGCAAATTAATTTTTAGAGAGACTAAATTATGAAACAAAACAGAAAACCATAAGACTTAAATAATAAAAATGACTGCCAATATTTTAGAAATACATATATGATAAGTTTATTTCAACCCTTGAATTTTTTGAGTGAAAGTCCGGGCAGACAAGCATCATGTTTGAATTTAGAACACCATCCCCAACAGGCATGCATCCACACAAGAATAACAATCCCAGACAGAGAGACTTTTGAGAAAATTTGCAAGACTAAGATCAGATTGACAGAGTGAGAGCACACTTCAATGATGACACACACTACATGTCATAAGTTAAATGTAGCAACGTACAAAGAAATGTAAAGGAAAACTGCAGTTCCTAAAAATCAATCAAAAACTACATAGCAGCAGGCTGATTAAAACTGCTTCATCAAAAAATGCACATGCATAAACAGGGCTCAAAATGAAAAATATGAAGGCAACTGAAGAGGGCGGAGCAAACGCTTTAGATTCACGATGACCAGGTTGTCCCTCCAATGAGAGAAACTCTGGTAGCAGAAGGCTCCCTATCCACAGTTATAAATAGAAGCTTCCTAAGAATGTTTATTCACATTCAAAGTCATATAGGCATCATTGGCATTACAGACCACCTTCGTCTCATTGTTAAGCAGTTCTTGCTCCATCACAACAGAGAGTGCTTGCGAGCTCACAAATCCAACGCTTTGCAAGCTCACCAAACTTTCTTTGCGACTCACTCCAACTTACAAAACAATGGCAAATTTGAGAGCAGGTAAGCCAATGCTGCGAGCTTTTGATAAGGGCCTCGCGAGAGCAAACGGCCTACTCACCTTGCAGCTGGGCCGGCAGGGCCGGCAGGGCCAGGGCCTGCGCGTCAAGGGGTTGGCTCTTGGCGGCCTGCTCGCGTGCACGCCGGCGCAGGCGCTCCGCGCGAGTCATCCTCGGCGGGGGGACGGGGCTGCTTACGCACAATTGAGTCATGCTGCGAGAGGTGTCAGAGCGAGCAAGGGTCTGGCTGCCCGCCGACCCGGAGGCAGACAAGGCGGACAAGCGCGCGGACCCCGCGCCGCCAAAGCCCGCCAAGTGCCCCATGGACTTGGCCGAGCTGAGCGTGAGCGTCCCCTTGGAGCCGAAGCGGCCGGCGCGGGGGGGCCGCTCTGGCGCCGACGTGGATGTGGAGCCCGCGGCCGCGCCGGGCCGGGGCGCGATCTTGCGGGGCTGGGAGAGCTGGTCAAGCCGGGACATGGAGTAAGCTCTGTTTGGGGTATTACCGGACGTCCGACGGCTCTGCCGCGTCGAGGGAGGCCCGTGGCCCTGGCCGTCCCTGGGGGACGGCGTGGTCGGGATGAGGTCCGTCTTCCGGCGCGCCGCCGTGGCCGCCATGGCGCTGCGGGGAGTCATGTACCCGGAGCCCACGCCGTCGGGGGATGTGGCGGCACAGTCCTCGTCGAGCGGCAGCGCGTGCGGCGGCACCACCCCGCCACCTGCATTGCGCACGAGGAGCACCAAGGCTTTCAACATGACTTTCAGCACCACGCACTGCACCACGCCCTGTGCTCTGCGCGGCTCAGCGCACCGCCAGGCCGCCAGTGCGAGCACAGGACGGGAAATACTTTTCCCTACCCGTCAATGAGATAAGCCAACATGTTTGTAAGTGGTTAGAGAAGCAACCTTCACCATAAACCCAATTTTTTTTTTTTTAAGGAGATGCAAGAGTAAAAGCGAAAGGACAGAATCTAATGAAGATTGACGAAAAGATGCTACCATGTTAAACCAGGCCGATGAGGAGTAATAAGAGAGTGCTTGCCTTATTAATAGCTTGTTGCCAGATGAGTTTCTTAACTTATATTATGACAACATGTAAATTGTACATGCCAGAAGACATCAATTCAAGATCCAACTGACATCAGTAAGCGTGGTTTACAAGAGCAACTGACCATTTGCAATAGTCTGTATCAAACACTTGTTAGTAGTTCAGCACACAGTCCAACTGTTACTTTCCCGACACATCACAAAAAGCAAACATCAGCTCATACATGACGAAGTTTAACAAAAAACAAATAAAAATATATTCCAGTGTACAAAACTTAGTAAAACTATTAACAAGAAAAAAAAGAACATTAAAATGAAAAAAAATGTTGTACATAGTAATCAAACATAGTAAAATTGCATATGCATTGGTTACAAAACAGCCTACAAAGCACATTCCAATCTCGTATATGATAAGGTAATACTGCCATTAAAGCCTTACAATGCAAAGCATTTACACATGCTGAGAAACAAATTGCTTCTCTAATCCGATAAAATGAAATCGAATGTTCATTCATGGTAATGCTTGAGGCATATAATTGTTAATAACATAGCACAGCAGACGCGAAGAGTTCCCTTTCCTGCACCTTCTGTCGTCACATTTCATACAATGTATATTATGTTTATGGAAAAGTTCACATTTTGTTGTAAGGAAGCGGTAGCCAATCGAGGGTTAGGGAAGTGCAAGTATTACATAATATGAGGACTCACCACCACCATTAGGTAGAGAACAAGTTTTGGCCCTAGAGTCTCTGAGATGTTCAGGTGGCTCCACCCATGTCAAAATCTCATGAATGTCTGAAATAGTTATGTTCCACAGATAGAGACTACCACTTGGGGTGCATCTTGTACTTAAAATCTTACAAAAATTTCAAGCAAGTTTGAGCATGGTCTGCAAGCAGTTCAATAGGCTTCTCCCCATTCACGCAAAGCAAAATGCACAACTCATCACAAGGAATAATAATAATAATAAGATAGTAAAAATCCTTGATGATATGCCAATACAAAAGTTCTTAATAATAAATACAAAATCAACAGTGGAGAGAGTTGTACCTTGCTACTAAGAATATTTTTAACTGCCTAAACTATCTATGTAAAAGTTAATTTAAGATACGGAGCATTTATTAATTTTTTAACTGAAATTTAATCAGTCTACATAAGGTAAAGATATGAGCCAGTAATTTATACAAGGTTCTTTGGATTGCCTAGATCGAAAAGCAAAAGGAGCAATAAAATGTTTGAAGTCTCACCTGGTTTGCGATCTAATCCAGAGGCAGAGGTGGCTCTCTTCTTGCTGCCATCAAGATCTCGCTCAGATCCTCGTCTCGTCAAGGTAAGTGGGGCTCCACTGAAGAGAGTAGTTGTTGAGGTAGCGCTGCAACAAAATCAAACACCTCATACATGATTAAAGTTCCTACAAGAAGGCAATTCATAGTTAAAAGTGATGCAAACTCACCGTCGAGTAGCCCAGTAGGAGCCGCCTGTATCAGCAGGTTCGAGCATTCGAGGTGTTGAGCTTCCAAATGCAAACACTATTGAACTGCGTTCATTCTTTCGTTTCATTTCGATTCTCGCTTCTCGTTCCTGGTTTTTTCTTAAAATTGCCGTTCGCCTCTCCTGTTCTGCTTCATGAATTTGTCTTTTACGTTCTTCAACCTGGTGACGTCTATCACCATCCCGTTGTCTCATATCTTCTATCCTCCGCCTTCTTTCCTCTTCCTTCTGCTCTCGAAACTTTTGGGCAGCTAAAGCCTGGAAATTTTGAAAGAAGAGATACAAGGTCAGATGGATATTTTGAAAAAATATTTTATGTGACAAGATATTGAGTTGTTAAATAATAAAAAATCAAACCTGTTGTTTGAGCTCTTCTAGTTTTCTTTGCCTCTCTTCAGTCTGCTTTTCACGGAGAATGCGGAGGCGTTCTTCTCTTTCCCGTTGTATTGCAGCATTTTCTTTACCAGCTGGAAAAGAAAAAAACAATATTATAAGTTTTGGTCTAGGAATTATGAAGAATTAGAAATAGGAAGGAAAATAGTCAAACACCACTCAATTAATACAATGTGTCACGTACAGTATTCAAGAATGTTGCCATGCCCAACCACCACCGATAGGGAAATCAAAAGGTTATTATAGGTAACAATGCCTAAGGCTTACTTAGTATTTTCACACAGTACAATTTGCCTATTTGAATAGAATCGGCTAAGTGAACTACAGTAACATAAATTACAGAAATGTAAAATTAATGCTTAAATGAGGATAAAAAACTTCTTGTTGAATTACTTTAAGAAGAAACAACATGACTGTTAATTATCAGTGCTGCTACAGTTGTAAGAAAAAGGAATTGTTATAGCACCACAAAAAAAAATGCACCACAGTGCCAATCTACCACAAAGACATGCAAAAATCAAAAGAAATTAATTCCAAAAAGCCAAAAACAAACTGTCAAATAAATCACAAAGTGTGATGCCAAAATGCCATGCAGGTTAAGATCAACAAGTGCTCACTCCTTCAGAAAGGAAACAAACCACGCACAGCAATAATCCCCAAGAGGAGCCAAAATGACACCCCGTCACAAAGAACTTACAACCAAGCGTCCAAACAACAACATTTTAAAAGGCTGAAATGCTGGTTCTACCTGGAAGCGCATTGTGATTCACTTGCTCTTGCGCTGAAACTTGTATATTGTGCTTGTTGCTGTCCGGCCCAACGTGAGCGAACCAATGCAGCGTCTGATTGTTTGGATCACGCCGCCCTGCACCACCACCACCACCATTGTTATTGACAGCTCTACCAAGTCTACAGGTCACACCATCACCAAAACTAAATACAGATAGCTTTCGCAAGTCAAGCTGGGGATTGAAAAATTTCACTGCTCACTTCTTTGAATGTAGGCACAACTACAAAATTTAATAGAAAAACCTCAGCATTCCAAAATTCCATTTCATTTGACTTTTCTATACAGAAAAACAAAATAGGTAAAAAGACACGAGACCAAAAAGGGGGAAGGACTACCGAGGTAATCTGTTCTATGAACAGGTATATAAAATTTAAAAAAAATTCTTACTTCCTATTTAAAGTGGATTAATTGAGAAATACTGAGGAATAAGTTCACATCTAAGAAAAGAGCCCGCTCTTTCTACTTCCATGACAGCAGAGAGACTTAATGTTGAAAAGAAAGGCTCATCTTAAGCTGACTGGAAACATGCAGAGTTAAAATATGACTTGAAAAAATAGGGAAAAACTCAAGTACACTAAAATAGGGGGCGAATGTATTAATTTCGAAGGAATTTAAAGTAAAGTACCGTACCTGCTTTTCCAGCTGCTGGGAGTGGCTTTCCTCCATTCGCCGAGCTGGGTCTCTGGTTTAGGGCATCTGAAGTAGCACCGGCTGCAACAAACAAACCAAAAGAGCACAATAAATTTCTGGGCGCCATTTCTTTCAACACGAGCTGCGAACAGAGAGGCGAGGCGTCGTAGGCACTCTAGTGTAAAGCTCCTCCCGCATCACAAAAGAAATTTTTTAAAAGTCCAACTATAACAACAGCGACGCCCGCTGCCCACGAGACGCAGCCGTCCGGACGGGGAGAGGAGCGGAATGCACAGTGGGCCAGTAACCGGCGCAGGCGGCCAAAATTCTAGACGCGTTTTGAGCTCCAGAGTCGCTAAATGAGACTCGAATCGAACGTGTGACCCCACCAATGGATTGCTCTCCGAACGAGGAATCCATTGGTGGGGTCACACGCTCGGTTTGAGTCCCATTTAGCGTTTCTGGAGCTCAAAATGCGTCTGGAATTTTGGCCGCCTGCGCCGGTTTCTGGCCCACTGTGGGGTTGCTCACCAGGACCGGGACCAGGACCACCGGGGCCTCCAGGGGAGGGTCCGGCGGCCAGTGCCGCGCGCAGGGCCGCGCCGGTGAGGCACATGACGACGCCGGCGAGCAGGGCGTCCACCAGGACGTCAAGCACCGCGCACAGCCAGGCCACCGAGTGGATGAGGCCGATCCACCAGGACGCGCGGCAGTCGCGGCCAGCCGAAACGCGAGCGTCCACGTCCACGTCCGCGCGCTCCTCCTGGCCCTGGGCCTCTGCCGCCTGCTCCGCCTGCTCCGCTTGCTGGCCGAACGCCTGGCGCGCCTGGCGCACCAGCATCCTCTGGACGCGCCTCTAGAGTCGCCCAGGCAGCGCCCAGGCGCCGACACACAATGGACGCACACGCACACACGCGCAGGCGGTGTTGCGACGTCCAAGCAAGCCACCCCCAATCCTTCTCCTTCTACCGGGCGCCTCGCAACCATCGCTGCTGCTAGGAGACATCGGTGACACGGCTTCGGTGGCAGTCTGTTCCCCCAACACGGCCAATTTAGAAGAGCGGAAACAGACACGGATCGATCGGCGAGCGTCACTTCAACAGTTTGAATCACTAGCGACCTGTGTACAAAGTTTTCCCCCGAACTCAGTGTACTCATTTAGTTTTAAAGGGTTGAAATGCCAACTGGTTTACGCCGATGTGGCGTTGAGTGCCGTTGAGAGAGTTAAATAAAGCCTGCCACTGGGGCCGCCAAGTGCCAGTGTACGCACGCCCAGCATTGTGTACTCACCCCGGGGGCTCAGGTACGGCGGGTGTACACGAGAACGCTCTGTCCCCCTCGCACTTCGAAGCCATTCCCAACCCCCGACATTTGCGCGACCTGTACACAGAGTTACCCCGACCGACCCTATGGCATTGCCATTAGCGTTTCGTTCATCGCCCGGGCGCTTAAAGTGCCAACTGGCCCCGCCCTGACCTGCCCCAACGTGTCCGGCGGCGTGGGGGGGTTAAGAGTGCGGCGCTCCCCACCCGGTATTCGCCCGCGGGGCCCCCCGCGTGTACGCCCACCCCCCGCATTTGCCCGATCGTCCCCGGGCCGCCGGTCGGCTGCCCGGGCTGCCCCGGCGGGCACGCCCGCAGGCCCCAGGGCGGCCACTGTCCCGTCTCCCTTTGGGGACCCTTTGTGGCCCGTCCCACCGCCCGACAGGGCGCGAGAGAGACAGAGAGACAGCGACCTACGGCGGCGGCCTATGGCATTACCCGCCATTACGCGTGCCGTTCACTCGCCCGGCCGCTAGAGTCGGTAGACTCGGCCCCAGCGTGACCTCGCCGCCAACCTGCCGGCGGCGGTCGGGCGCGGGTTCGAGTACCGCCACCGGCGTCCTTTTTCTCTTTTTTTTTCACCTCTGGTATTCGCATGTGGGTAACGGTGCCCGCGCGCGTCCGTTCGCGACGCCGGCGCGATTTGCCTGCAGTGCAGTGCCCAGGGTCACGCCGCCGTCGTGCAACCCATCCGCCATTGTGCGCGTCAGCCGCGTCAGCGTCGCGACGCCTGCGACGACGCCTCACGAGGACGGCCGACTGTCCTCAGCCGCCCGATTCGGGACAGTCGCTTCGTGGCCCTGTCGCACTCGCGGGGCTCTGCATCAAGGTGCGAGAGAGACAGAGCGACGGCGGTGCGGCGCCGAGAGCCTGGGCGGGGAGTCTTTCGCAAGCACGTCACCGCGAACGTCCGACAAGGACCGAGCTGGCGCCGCCTCGCGCCGCCCGAATCGCAAAGACTCGCGCGGTGGTCCGAAAAGCGCCAGTCAGGTCGGCCGCCCGGACGACACACACGCCGCGGCTCTGGGCGCATCCCAGCGCATTCACGGACAGACAGCCGGGCGAGGTAGGCAAGCCCGCCACACTGGCGTGTCTGCATTGCCTACCTCGCAGGCGGCCCGGCCCTCCGCGCGCCGCCGACCAGCTTGAGCATGGCACACACGCGGCCGCGGCGGTCACTGATCGGTTCAGCCCCGGGGGCGCGCTGCGTTCGGGCTGCTTGCGCTGCTTCGGGCCCAATGCCCAATCGGCCAGCCAACCCCCACCGCCGCCACCAGCACGCCATGCGGTTCGCCCCAGGGGCAGAAAAAGAAACGAAACCTTTATTGCAGGAATAGAGTGTGGTTTGCGCTTGGCAGTGCTTGGCAGTGGCGCAGTGCGTGCGGCGCCGCTCACAGCTGAGTCAACAGCGACACTAGTCAATGGCGAGGCACGCGTCATCCTCGCCATCCTCGCCGTATTCTCGAGGCGTGACGACGCGCCACGACTCGCCAAACAACAACAACAACAACAAAAACGAGCAAGACCGACCGGAGCGACCTCCAGCAGCCCGGTCCAACAGACCGATTCTAGCCAAAAAAACGTTTCATTGGCCACTCCACTGTGAGGGCGCCCTGGCAGCGCGGGCAGCGCGGCACGCCCAGCGCCTCTCGGAGGCAGCCCGGCCAAGGACCGGCCGACCCACAGTGGGCCAGAAGACCGGTAGAGGCGGCCAAAATTCGAGACGCGTTTTGAGCTCCAGACTCGCTAAACGGGACTCGAACCGAACGTGTGACCGCACCAATGGATTGCTCTCCGAACGAGGAATTTATTGGAGGGGTCACACACTCGGTTCGAGTTCCATGTATAGCGACTCAAGGGCTCAAAACGCGTCTAGCGTCTAGCCCACTGTGCCAACGGCCAGGCCGAGCCAAGCCTAGCCGCGACCGGACTGGGCTAGACGCGACAGGCGTCATCAGCCGCAGCCTTGGATGCACGTTCCGTTCGTTTCGTTCCGTTCCGTTCCACGCTCCGGACCGGCCAGTGGAGTGGAGCGACCCGCGGCCCGCAGCCCGCGCAGAGCACTGGCCTGCCCATTCCCTCCTTGCCATCAGCTGACACACGGCTCGGCCTCCACCCGGTCCTGCCCCGCTCGCCGCGCTCTTTTTGGGCACAAAACAAATTAATTTGCATATCTCATCGGACTTGACTACTGTGCCGAAAACGAAAAGTGCCACAAGCACTTTGGCTGTCGCTAAAAGCGCGAGCGTCGAACCGCCACCAGCGACCGGCAATGACATGACCTTCCCCGGGCCGGCCGGCCGCATCCTGGTCTCGAGAGCGAGAGAGAAAGAGGCTGCAGGAAAGTGCAGTCGCGGAAAGGCGCGGCGCGCGCCTTGGCGCACGAGCACAGCAGTGCAGTCAAGGTGCATCTTAATTACGCGACGCCGAGCCCGCGGAGCGCCGAGTGGGGAAGAGACGTCATCGTCGTGACGGTACGGCAAACGGCATCGCCCGGAGCACGACTAGCGGCCAGGCAGCCAGCCGGCCAACTAGCCAGAGCTAGCCAGGCACTTTCAATTACACGAGAGCGCGGCTAGGCCGGGCTAGGCACACCTAGGCACACCACACCTGCCGACAGTGCAGGCGCAATACTCGACGCGCACGCGCGGCTACCTGCGCAGCAGCCTTTAGCCACACCTACGTCAGCAAAAAAACACGAAAAAGTTGCATTTTTTTCCGCTTTTATGCTGCTGCCAGTCGGATGGACGGCGGCACGCGCTAGAGGCTTCGCCGCGCGCCGCGCGTCCTCATGGGAGAGTGCTTTCACTGCACTGGCCACGGCGCCACGCCCCGCCACGCCCCGCCACGCCACGCCCCGCCACGCCCCGCCACGCCCCGCCACGCCACGCCACGCCACACATCATCAGCGGAATGTCCGACTGTTTGGGTGAAAGGCGTGCCGCTGCCTTCGCCATCACACCGCGGCACCGCGCAATGCGAGGCGCAGTGCCATCGACCGTTCGCTCGCTGAGAACCGCCAACGAACCCTGCCGCCGACCCGGCTAAACCCGAGAGTCGTCTTCGTCGCGCTGTCTCACTCGCACCCACGCGGAACGCCGGACGAGTGCGAGCGAGACGGGGCGACGAAACACAGTGGGCCAGAAGACCGGTGGAGGCGGCCAAAACTCTAGACGCGTTTTGAGCTCCAGAGTCGCTAAACAGGACTCGAACCGAACGTGTGACCCCACCAATGGACTGCTCTCCGAACGAGGAGTCCATTGGTGGGGTCACACGTTCGGTTCGAGTCCTGTGTAGCGACTCTGGAGCTCAAAACGCGTCTAGAGTTTTGGCCGCCTCCACCGGTCTTCTGGCCCACTGTGCGACAGCCCGGTTGGGGATCAGCGCGCAGTGCACCAGGATGCCGTCAGCCAGCCCGCCGCCAAACAGTGACTGTCCGGCGCGCCTCGCCGCAGCGCCTCAGAGGCTCAGCACGCCGAGGCGATAAGTTGCGCGGCCACGGTCGCCCCGCAGTCTCATTCCCAGAGCCGCCGTCTCTGTCGCACTCACGGGTCGTCCCGGGTGGGCGCGAGAGAGACAGCGCGACTCTCGGAATCAGCTGGCCCCGCCGGGCCGGGCGGCCGCCGCCGTGCCGCCAAGGTCGTCGAAAACGCCGCGAGCGCCCCAAACAAGCACGTCACGCAGCGTCACGCCGCCGTCGCAGGCACTGGAAGACACGCCGAGACGTCCGCGACCCCCGGGCACGCAGCGCCAGCCCAC